TTTCTAGCTCGTGTCCAATTTTTTTCTAGATCCACCACTGAGTCGATGTCTATCTTTTTCAGGAGCAAACGCCGCAATTTTCACATTGTAAAACAAATGTCAAGATACTATATGGCCAGGGACTTTATCAGGAAGTGGAACACCTCTACTAAAGAACGGCGGCTTCCAGCTTGGACCGGCCGAATCCACCACCATCGACGCGCCTAAGGGGTGGTCGGGCCGCTTCTGGGCTCGTAGTGGATGCACATTCGACCAATCCGGCAAAGGAAACTGCACCACCGGGGACTGTGGCAACGTTCTACAATGTAATGGCGCTGGCGGTACGCCACCAGTGTCACTAGCCGAGTTCACCCTCGATAGCCCACAAGATTTCTACGACGTCAGCCTTGTCGATGGATATAACATGCCAATTTCCATCGTCCCTTCGGGGGGATCGGGAAATTGTAGTGAAGTAATATGCGTATCGGATTTGAACAAGGAATGCCCTCAGGATTTGGCGGTGGCCGGAGGCAACGGGGTGACAGTGGCATGTAAAAGTGCCTGTCTGGCCTTCAATGAACCACAATATTGCTGCAGTGGAGAATACAATAATCCACAGGTATGCAAACCTTCAAATTATTCACAAGTATTCAAAAAAGCTTGCCCAACATCGTACAGCTATCCATATGATGATGCAACCAGTACTTTTACATGCACCGGTGCTAATTACTTGATCACATTCTGTTGAAATTTGACAGAAATATGTATGGATCATATTAAATAAAAATGTTTTTTTTTCAAGATTAACATTTCTTACATGAAATGTTTTCTTTTTAATTAATTATGTCTAATACTTTTGTAAATATTTTATAAATAATTATCCAGTATGTCGTTAGATGGTGAACTAGAGCGTCTCTTAGATAAGGACAATGTTGAAAACTATTGATGATATTTCAATTATGTGGCGAATAAAACCAATAATTTTTCGAACACTCGAGAGTGACAGATGAGAAATAACGTCAAAAGTTCAATGTTTGCTGGAAAATAACTTTGTAAGTACAATGAAAATTTCGAAAATTTTAAACTTTGATTGAAAATTGGGAAACAATTTTAAAAATAAAGTGACTATTTGAAATTTCTTAAAGTTCAGTGATCATTGATAACAACATATACGTGTTAAAGAATCGATTAGAACGTAATATTTGATGTGACTGAATATTACAATAAACAAGATTCTAACATGTTCGTCTCTTTAATACTTTTCAATTCACTTTACTAAACCTTCTATAAATACAAAGTCCTACATTCATCAGTCAAATACGCTGTACATTAATCGAGTTCATCAGTCAAATACGCTGTACATTAATCGAGTTCATAGTCTCACGTTCATATTTTCTCTTTTCGTTAACTTAAGCACTGGAAGGGCTCATTCCCAATCATCAAGCTCGGGTATTCACAAGTGTAGATTTTTTATAGCATCATATAGCCCTTCGATGTGCCTTCAATATACGATCATGCACCAATAAATTCGAGGGAAATTTACAAAATGCACGTAGCCTGTAATTGTGACTAGTATATAATGGTGATCATAAATTGTGTAATATTGTAACCTTAATATAGTTAATTTAAGAAAATAATTTTTAATTAATTATTTAATCAATAGAATTTAATTAAGACTTGATTTTTGAAATAATAAACATAATTTCTTAACTTTGGAATTGTATTTTGCAACCACCACCTTATACATGAAATTTTCCCCTTATATTATCTCTAGCCCTTAAGTACTCAAAATAATTACGGGAAAACATGTAAGTTCCTAAACTAAAGAATCCTAATAAATTACAATATCTTTGTCAAATATCCTACTTAACAATTGACAACGATTTTAATTATAACAAAAGATTACCAAATAAATCTATGATAATTTACATAAATAAATTAGGAAATACAATTCCTACTCATAGTGTAAGGTGTTTAATTTTTGAATAATGATGTTATTCATAGTGAGTGATTACAGTAGTCACCTTACGTAACATCCCATATATCCTGATTTTAATAATTAAAAAAAAAAAGGGAAACAATCGAATGATTTCCATATTAATAATGAAAAAAATCACTAGTACGATGCCAAGCAGAGCGACTACTGTAGTTGTCGACTACAAACTCACAAGTTCTACCTACTTATTGACTGTTCATTTCTGTATTTATAATTTAACTAATTATAATTACATACCAAACATTGACACCTTATGATATTTTCTTGTTTGTGATTGCCACGGGGTGTGTAGGATTCATGCTAAGCCCCTGTTTGATACCACTAAAAAAAGTTGATTAAAATTTAAGTCAAAGTCGACAATTAATCTTAACCATATATTTTTTAGAATCCACAACTTTTTCAACCATACATTCTATCAACTTTTATCAAAATTTGTTAAAAAACTGATTTTAATCTCGACGAAACATGGGTTTAGATTGCCATGATTAGTGTAATCTACTTACGATTGCCTATAATCTTCATTAATTTAGAAAGTCAAAGAAAATATCAGATTCATCAAATCATAATACATATGTAATCTGTACTCTGTAATCCACATACACACATATATATATGTCCTCCACCTATTTGAAATTGTTCATTAAACTACATCACATTTGGTTGAGAATTAATCATGGCATTGTCATGGCATCTCTCCTTCGTTCTAGTTTGGAATTTCTTAGGTTAATTATATTTATTATACTGAATCGAAATCTTCTGCTTCTCCATTTTTTTTGCACCAACTGTTAGCTGATTTTTGTCTTTTCCAGGAGCAAGTGCTGCAATTTTCACGTTGCAGAACAAATGTCCACACACTATATGGCCAGCGACTTTATCAGGAGCTGGAAAACCTCTACTAGTGAATGGTGGCTTCCAGCTCGGCCCGGCTCAAGCCGCCACCATCAATGCACCTGCAGGGTGGTCAGGACGCTTCTGGGCACGTACTGGATGCACTTTCGACCAATCTGGGAAGGGAAGCTGCGCCACCGGTGACTGTGGCGGTATTCTGCAGTGTAACGGTGCAGGCGGTATACCACCAGTGTCACTAGCTGAGTTCACCCTCAACAGCCCACAAGATTTTTACGATGTCAGCCTTGTGGATGGATTTAACCTGCCAATTTCCATCTTCCCTTCTGGAGGGACGGGAAATTGTAGATCAGTAATCTGCAAAGCGGATTTGATTAGAGTATGCCCACCTGAATTGGTGGTGGTCGGAGGGAATGGGGAGAGGGTGGCGTGTAAAAGTGCCTGTCTCGCCTTCCGTCAACCCCAATACTGCTGCACTGGAGCAATCAATAGTCCGACGACATGCAAGCCTACAAATTATTCACAAATTTTCAAACGAGCTTGCCCTACAGCGTATAGCTACCCATTTGACGATCGAACCGGTACTTTTACATGCACGGGAGCTAACTATGTGATCACGTACTGTTGATTTTGAAATTTATACAAGATCATGATTGGCAATAAATTAATGTAGATCAGAATGATAAGTTTTTCCTGATTTATATTTTGGTTTCCATTTCCATACCATTGAAGCAGGGATGAGTTACATGCCAAAATGAAATAATTTCGCCCAATATGTACCACCAAAATCACTTCTTTTCAGGTTTAAATCGGTTCAGAAGTCCACGTTGTGGATGGACAATCTATTTGTAACAAAAAGAGAAATGTGCCTCGTATGTCAGATATGTCAGCAAATAGAACAAATACAACAGTGTACACTCCAAGAGTGAAGGATGGGTCGGGCCTATGAAGATCCACAACAGCTGAACTTTCTTTCTGAGAGTACCGGCTCTTGGCCAGGAACAACGATCTTGGTTCCTTTCAGAAGAGATGAATTTCCTCCAGATTCTGGTTCCTCATTGGCCACAAGGGCTTTCTTGCTGACGACCTGATAAATCTCAGATAGGATATTTAGGAAAGCAGGTTCCACGTTAGTTGCCTCAAGGGCTGATGTTTCCATGAAGAATAGGTTCTCCCTCTGGGCAAACTCTTTGGCATCATCCACAGGTACAGCTCGAAGAGTTCCCAGATCAGATTTGTTTCCTATAAGCATGATTACGATGTTCTTGTCAGCATGGCCCCGCAGTTCATCCAACCACCTAGCCACATGATCAAATGATTCACGTTTTGTGATGTCATAGACCAGCATTGCCCCCGTTGCACCTCTGTAATATGCACTAGTCACTGCCCTATATCTGAAGTCACCAAATTTGCAATATCAAGTGAAGAATTTAAAAACATTAGTAAAAAATTATCTCCAAAACATACCACAAAAGAGGCTGCTACAACTAACAAAGAGCAGAAGACGAAAAAAAATTCAGAAGGGAAGTGCATGAAACATATATTAATTTGGTTCCTCTTCCACTCTTTCAAATTTATTGAACTCCACATGACAAAGGAGAGACTAAAATCAGGTTGGCATCTGTGACATGCCAATGGGAGTAGAAAACTATTCAGCGCTCCTTCACATAATTATAATGCGCCCAGTGCATAAAGACACAAAGCTTGGTGTTTAAGCTGAAGTCCCAAGCCATGTACACACTTCATTGTAGAAAAACGCAAAACCATATATAAAGTATGATTCAACGTAAACACATAATATTTCTAGAAAATTCAGACATTGCCCCAATTTTCACTGCATATCAGTTAATTTAATCAAGTTGAGCAAAAGACATGAAACATCGCAAAATTTTCACTTCAATGACAGCTGCACTTTGACACGCCAAAAATAGCCTCCTAGCACGCACCTCATTGTGCTTTCAGTTATATCCATAACAGCAAAGTTAAACAAAACACAAGACGTTAATAAGCATTTAAGCTGAAGGATAACTTTAAAATGGAAAATATAAGGCCAAAGCCACCTGAACCACCACTTCGTGGCACCGATGCTCCTTTGCCTAGTCAATATAGAACTTCTACAAATTGGAAGTAGGGTCTTGACAAACAATTGACCAATATGTGATGCCACAAATAGGACAGGAGGGGGACAATGGCACTCCTTTATCAAGATAAAAGAAAGACTAGCATGTCAAGTTTAATGATAAAACTAAGGATCTAATTTTACTTAACTGATCATATCAGTCTCGAAATCAGTCCAATTAGTGCACCTATTTCCAATACCTATACAGCATTTCACTTTTAGAATACAATTATATTTTCTTAAAAAATCTTTTACTGGTAATCTTTTAATTTTAAATTGTGTCTTGCTACAGGTTTAGGTGCACGCCATGCTGTGCATCTTGGCTAAAATAGGCATTAGTGAATTAATATGATTTGCTTCCATAGAAAGGAGTAAATCCAGTCTCTGACCTACATTTGATCATATAATCTCACAAATGCAGTGTAGCTTAAGTAGAATGTTAATTGATTCTAAATGATCGTAAATTTTAGAGACAGGATGATAGATACAAAGCATTGAATTAGGAAGATGGCAAACAACCACCCCGTGGCCGATAACTGGGAAAGCCACATCCTCGTACGTAATAAAATAATTTGTGAAATAAATTTTTTTATATGAATCAGATTCTACTGGGACATCTTTTCAAACACAAATTTGTGTTAGTCAAAGCTCAGTTGCGAGCGAGCTCTCTCTTTTGGTATGATCAGCAGCAGTACAGTCAATAGCTTGTCTTAGAAGGAGACGTATTTCATTAGTATGACAGAAAGCTTTTTACCAACAGAACTGGTAACTTGAATAAACAAATTTTCCATCAGGAGAAACATACAGACCAAAGACCGAAATGAAAACATGAACAACAAAATCCCCAGCCCATATTCCCTTATGAGTTTGAGGAGCCATTCATGGACCATATATGCACATGTTTTATTTTTTCGTTTCTTTTCCCTTTCTGAAAAGAGAACTAAATCCACATGATGAGCAGTAATATAATAACCACACTGAGGGCCAGCCAAACAGCTACTGAGCTAATGTAAAAGAGTTTTTAAGGCACATTTAAAGATTGCAAAATCAATTTATGTGATAGAATACTCCATAAAACCAGTATTTTTCTGCTTTTTGTCACAAATTTCCAATAAGTTGTTGCCTTTAATTTCATAATGATTTGCAACGGAACGTATTGTACAACCTAAGGTGTATTTACATATAACAATGCATTACATACCCCTTATGGCATATCTTAAATTACCTATACATATTTTTTAACCATGAGCCACAAAATATTGACAACAACTCATCTTTGGAAATAAATCAATAACTAGGCAAACACCCATGAAAATTAATTAATTCAGCCTCTTATAACCATAGATGATTGAATTAATCCTTTCAAAAATGATGAAGCTAACATACCAATGCAGGAAAGAGAACGTAGTGAACAAAGGAAGAAAAGACGAACTCTGTGAGCAAAAAACAAAGAAATGTGCTTGTGGAGAAGATTGCTCAAGAATATTCTCAAAAGACCTGAGGCTGCAGACCAGTTGCAGCCAGTTGATCATCAAAATTTGCTGAAGGGCGTTGACTGATGGGCTTATGTCAGTTGTGGGCTTTCTATTTCAGTTAGCAGTTAGCTATTGAGTGATTTGTATTGTAAGAAAAACATGCTTTTCCCTTTACTGACTTCTTCTATTATAAGAGGAGTAGTTAGTTCACCAACAAAACATAACACGCGCGCGAGCAAATACGCAACCCAGATACAGGAGAGAGAACAGTTCCTTTCTTCCCTAAATTTGTGAATTCAGTCATCTTGTTGACTGTAATCAATAAAATCTGGCCCAGGGACTGGAGTAGGCAATTGCTGAACCAATGTAAAACTTTGTTTTTCATTCTCCAACTGCATATACTTCACAAACTGCACATCAATTCACTGCTAATATTGTTGACCGCGATTGCTGATGAATTCTAGAAGTTGGAGTTTTCCTTTCTGTCCTAACAGAGCTAGCTAATAGAGAACCAGAGAGATATGAATAACATCTGCTCACTGCTAATATTCTTGACTGCGATTGCTGCTGAATCGAAGAAGTTAGAGTTTTCCATTTTCTGTCCTAACAGAGCTTGCTAATAGGGCAAGAGAGAGGTAATAATAACATCTGCTCACTGCATATCGATACACCTTCTAATATGAGAATGGAATTTCTTCAGTCTCATTCTTCTGAGAATCGAGAAAAACAATAATATAACTAGAAGTAGTAGTAAAATCCCCACCTATAACAGCAACAAGCTAAGCTTTATTCCAGATAAAGTTGGGTTGAACTGCATGAATCTAATTTCACTATTCCATTTGACGAGAGCTTCTGAAGTGTCTTTGTAAAGCATGCTACCTGATTCACCAGTACCTAATTTACCGGCCATTCATGCCATCTTCACTTGTGGAAATATTATCTCATTTCTTTTGCTTCTTTATCCTTTTTATTCTAGTATACCTATACATCTTTCTTAACATTCTCTTATAACGTGTTGTTTTGGACTTTCACTTTAAAAATTCAATACTCACTACAAAAGTAAAGTTGTTCTTAACTACTTTCAGGTTTTTATATATTTATAGGTACTCAAATTATGTATTTACATATTGACAAGTGTTATCAATTAATTTTACAGAGATCAATGGTGGGAATTTTGACCGTTATTTGTGATAATCATATTGAGCTCACTCTATGCGATAATATGCTACTATTAGCAAACACTTCTAAGTTAAAAAAATTATCTGATCATGTGCAAACCTATGCCACTGTGAGGGAGCATTTATAATATAAAGACATAAGTCCGATCTTGAATACAAGCAACGAGCACATGAGGCGTGCGAATGAAAAATTACTGAAAAAGCAAATATACTCTTATTTATTTCTACATGCTATTCCACATCAGCAAAAATCGTTATTGAAGTAGACGTGAATAAGAACGGTAAACTATTAAACATGGCTTCACAACCAATGAGTGAAGAACATGTGACATGATAAATAAAATGTGAAAAGGTAACATGTTCAGTTAAAGCTTACTAATCATAAACTGCGATGCGTCATTAAAGTCACCTGCATTAAAGAAAAAGACTTTACTACCATCATGGCCTCGTGAAAACTCTGTAAATAAGCATAGTTGGGAGCAAAGGAGGATATGAAAAATTGAGAACACTTTCCTTTCAATTAGACATTCCTGTCCTAGCTCTTATTTTAATAGAATTCGATAAGTTTAGGGGATGGAATCCCAAATTAGGTGAAAGGAATTAATTAATCTCGATTTTGAAGTCAACAAAAAGAATGTTTATGAGAGAGAGAGAGAGAATTTTGTGAAGTAACACAAGGACATGAACTAAACCAAAGTGGAGTGTAACAAATTGATGAAATGCTTTAACAAAATCAGCTTGGTAATATCATGGATTGGAGAAAAAAGTTAATCTAAAACATAGGCTCTATTCTCCCTGCTTATATTCCAACTGCAGACTATTATGTTATATAATGTAGCCAGATGATCATCCACCACGATCACAACGTCTAAAGTCTGCATTGTCATCTTTTTTTTAAAACCAAATTCAGCACCATTCAACAAGCATTTGATGTCTCTTGTTAACTATGCAAACAGAAAATGAGAATCAACTATCAAAGTAATTACCTTTCTTGACCAGCTGTATCCCAAATCTGAGCCTTGACCGTTTTGCGATCAATTTCAAGCGTTCGCGTCTGAAATTCAACTCCAATAGTGGCTTTTGAGTCCAAACTGAACTCATTTCTCGCATATCGCGCCAACAGCTGCGATTTCCCCACTGCCGAATCGCCTATTATTACGATCTTGAACACGTAATCGATTTTGGAAGTGAAATCCCCTCTGTATAGATTCGACATCTCTCACAAAACCCCTCTCAATCAATCAATAACTGAAAAGTTGGATCAAATAAAATGATCGTGCGAGAATGTACGTCTGTATATATTTGCGCGTACATGTGCAGAAAGGCAAAGAAAAGGAGGAAAAGCAAAAGTTTCGAGTATCTGCTTGCTAGTAAATATTTTCTTCTTTTAACTTGAAGAAACAAAAATAAATTCTTTTTTTATTTTTGGGTAAATTTCATCCGTGATGACTGAACTTTGAGGAAAAACAGAAATGGGTTATAAAAATTTTATTTGCTTTAATTAAAATAGTCAACTTCAATTCAGTGTCTAAAAAAGACGTGCATCTCAAACCTTGAGAGACGCACGAAAATAGACGAAAGCTAGTTTTCATAAATTTTTAACCTCTCTTGAAAAATCGGACCAGCAGATTCAATATCATGTCTTACATAGTAATTTAAATAAATGTGTTATCCCACTAGCGTAAAATCATTGATTTTTGTCCATTCCGCTTCAAGCTTCGAACCTATATCTTTTCATATATTTTCTAAACGGTGGCTAAAAAGGCTAGCTGTGATGGGCATGGGCCGATAGGGAGCCCAAGCCAAATTCTACTAGAAAAAAAAAAAAAAATTTATAGCACTTTTTTTTTTCTGTCCAACCCAATAGCCCACTGTCTAACTTACTAGCCCCCCGTCTCACTGAATCTTGGCTCTGCCCATGGTGATGGGGTACTTACATAATTAAGCTTGAATTGCTTCGAGGATGGGATTCAAGAATACACACATTAATACTACAATGTATTCTTATTGTGAGAGAAATGAGACAAATCAATCCCACAATAGGGTGAGGAGACAATAGCCCCTATCATTGTATAAATAGTCTCGATATTCTCTAAATCATAATTAACATGCACCTTATTTAATTTAATTTTCGAGTGTAACTTTAACTTGATTATTGCCCTGTTTGGTACACATTATTTTTTTCATTCTCATTCTTTTACTCATTTTTAACCACACATTCTTCAATAAATTAAAGTACCTTTTAAGTAAATGTAGCTATCTAGGGCACTCAATAATCCAAATCGTGCCCTGATAATTGTTAATTAAGTTCGATTTATCATTATTGAGACCCTTCTATGAGCCTAATGTTGCAATCTTGTATTACATGATTAATTTAAAAAGTTGTCTAAATCAACAAAACTAGGACTCACAAGTTCACGTGATCAATATTTTGATTTATATATTAATAGTAAAATAAAAAAAATATGGTGTCCCCAATAAAATAATCCCGAGTCATAGACGGAGAGTGTGCCTGCTAAAGCTTCCAAGTCATAGATGAAGAGTATGTAAACTAAACTTTTTCAAGCTTATACGCTAGTTAAACATCATTTTTATCTATATTCTGTAAAGCTCGCAATTTTCATTCGTTTTTTGTCCCCACATTTCGAGTATGTACCTTTAAGAAAAAAAAAAAATTACCAAGTCTTGGTAACTGGGATGGGGAGAGAGACAACATAAAATGTGGAATTCTTATGAAAATCGCACATAAATTGAGAAGTGCCTAAAACCACATATTTGACATGGAACTCACAAAATTAGGTACTTAGATTATAAATAATAATCTCGTTTCACTGCGATTGAGATTTGAATCATTGGAGTGCAAAAAAAATACAAATTTTGAATTTTACAAAGAACGGTGATTAAACGGCAAAAAGATCATGGAAATTCTTCTTTCAAGTAAGAATCTAGAACCAGATTTGGGATAAAGAAAATTGTAAATTCTTTCACAAACATACATGAAATTCTTGACTCACAATATCACAGTGCTTCGCGCCTTCTATCTTCTCCTTGTACAGAGTTCTAATTCCCCACAAGAATTTGTGCACAAAATGATCAACTTACAAATGATGTATTACACAGCAAATTTAAATATAACCATCACTATAAATAATATCTAGTTTTAAGTTCAACGAGAGAGACAGAGAGAGGAGAGAGAGAGAGATCAACCTTCTAGAGTGCAGGAACCAAGCAGGTACAAGTTGTTGGTTGAGAAAACCCCTTTCACTAAATTTCAAACAAGTGTCCTCATTATATCAAGAAAGATTCCGCGAAGCCAGCTTTCATGCCTATCATTGTTCGAGGAGACTATGACGCAAATACACTTGAGCATGCAACCTGCTTAAAAAATAAGTGTCAAAATTCAGTACAAACTTATTACTATGAGTAACAATCACGGTATTGAAAGATAGCAGTAGAGCTTCATAGTGATTCCTCGCCAAATGCGTGCAACCTTATTATCATGGGATGAAAATCGCAAGCGATTAACTCTATCTTGATGGGCATTCAGGAAAGTTGGAACTTGTGCAAAGACGACAAAAAAAGAAAAGAAATACTCTATGTTGCGCACTATTTATGGAATCAATAGCAACCGAAAAAAGAAAGAAAGAACGAACGAACAAAAATAGCCTGTTGAATTCGGCAATGTCACAAGTGTGTCAACTTGAACTTCAATTAAGATCTGCAGGAAGTTATTATTTATTAATATTGATTAAAATCTTGCAGAGATTCTGCGAATGATATGTTTTTGTTAAGGCACATCTTATCGAGATTTTTTTGTTAAAAGTAATATACTTCTGGAGCATTTAGAAAGAGAAGGAAGTGGCAGTTAATTTAAGAGCTGTTCTTATTCATAGCTATATTTTCTTCTGCCAATCCCAAAACCATTCCCACAGGAAATATACTAATTTCTGAAAAGGTTAGTACACAGTATTTACCTGTGGCGTACTTGAAGCCAATCCCGAAGCTATATTTTTGTGGTTCAGAATGATTGCTCCTAATTGAACTGATCCAAGAAATATCATCATCTGGAGTTTCAACCATACTACACAGAGACATAATAATAACCCCCACCCCATCTTAAAAAAGAAAAAAGAAAAAATTGAAATCCAGTAAGTTATTTGACAGGACTTGGACCAGACTATGGAAGTATGTAGGTCAATTTTGTTTGTCACCTCCGCATTCTCGTTCCTCTGCTTCAGCAGCCACCATTTCATCGAAGTTCTTTGACTTCTCGAGTAATATCTCAATCTTTTCTTGGGGACTGGTCGTGTGTCTGGTTCATCCCTTGTGTCTGCAGTCAATGTCCTGATTTCGTTTCAATGCCAAATCCATCGTTCTTTCAAGATTTCAGCAATACCAACCACAGTGGAAAAAGCCATCCTTAGACCATGGAGTTCCAATTTATTGTATTGCTGCATATACCTCTTGTGGAGATTGTTGAGGCTCGAACCTGTGATCTATGATGTGCACCCAAAATTGGCTTAAAATCGTGTTCTGCTGGATGCGTTTTTCTTTAAGTGGTGCACTTATTATGAGATGGTGACACGTGGGTGATTTCTGGCCCTTGGATCGTTGCCTTGGTGATGTGCGATATAAATATTGCACAATGGAAGATATTTTTCATTCTTCTGCCTTTTGGAGTTCTTCGTTTCTTTTGGGTTCTTCTAAGAGTCCATTTTTTGTAGATTAGGGTTTGAGTCCTTCGTATACTTCATCTCTCATGATGAACTTGTAAATACTGAGATCATACTTGTCGATTAGCCTCTGTAATCTATTATTGTGAACGATTGCTGTGAGATTAGGGTTTTCTTGTAATCGTGGTTTCAGTTGGCTGTTTGTGGGGTTTCTTTGTGATTCCTTCTAGATCTGCAATACTTTGAAAGAGATAAGTGTCTTGTGCCTTTTTCTCTTATATTTGGAAGAACAATTTGTAACTTGTTGCCATTTTGGGCTCATTAGTGCAATCGAGCGAATATCCATTATTTGGATGCTCAACGGGGGATGTAGGCGTTGGATTTGGTCGCCAAACCTCCGGGGCTTAGGCCGAAAAAAATCTCTGTGTTCAATCTTTACTTTTCTGCAAAGTTTATTTTCTGATTTATTGGAATCTTGTTTTAATATCGTGTGTTTGGGCCTTTTCAAAAATTGACATAGAAGAACAGGGATTAAGGTAGGAGACTTGGATTCTGTTCCTCTTTTTTGATTCAGATGAATAAATGCTAATATTGTTTACTCCCCCTGTTATGCCCTCATCTTTTCCTGAATTTTTTGGGTGTCAAGTTTTGTAATTTAAAATATCAAGCCGCAGCACCTTAAAACTTGAGAAGTGGGAGTGGAGAGAATTCCATAACCAAGGTTTCCACCTTTTTGTTTGCAATCAAAAAATCCTGCTTGATACCACAGTATCCAATATAAGCCTCAGCGAATGAACAAGAATTATCGTTAGCATATGGTAGTACAATTTAGTTTTACGAAATCAACGCGATGTTTATCCAAGAGGAGAATGAAAACCCAATACTAGTTCAATTTAAGTTTATCGTATGCCTTAAAAATGAATTTCGTTGCATTTTTAAATGAATGGGTTGCTTGTATCATGGTAAAAGGCATGCTGGTTCACACAAGCCACCATGCATGCCTTTTGTAAAATTGTTTTTTTTTTTATATATCTATACTATTTTAAGAAGGTAGGACTAAATTGAAAGTTTCCGAGAGGTTGGACCCAACAAGGAAATTTTAACCTAATCATCAACCATATGTGCCACCATCAACTAGAAGACTTGATACTTGATAGTGTATCTTAAAAAATGCTACTGTTGATATAGGACTCGAATTGAGGAAAAATATGAAGAATTTCTAATCAGATTCACTTTCATAAAGATGATTAAAGAGAAATATGTTTACTCCTTCAATTCAAGAATGGGCAGATACAGTGAAGAACTAGTTTAGCATGTCGAATTATAGTGGTAGTGTGAGGAAGTTAGACATTAAACATATGAACTCAACCTTATTTCAATGTTGATTAAAAAAAGGCATTTCGGCCCAAATCCATGAGAATAAGACCTGTCATTTTGTCTAGAATGCCAGATCGTACACTTTAGAACCCACCAACCTGATGTGGGAAACAAGAACTTTCAGAGAAAAAATGGCCATCTAGAATTTTTTTATGAAAGCTAAAATCAGCTCAGAAAGATACGGTGGAGGTGATCGCTCAGCTGAGCTCATAGTTGTCGCCTAAGGAGGAGTAAGAATGCATAAGCAAATTAAGGCAAAATGCACACCTCACAAGCCAAACTTTGAGATGGAAGCCTAACTCCAGAGACAAGGCTCCCGTAAGCTCGAATGAGGTCAACTTAAAGCGTGGTATGCAGCAGTAGCCAAAAAGCAATAAGGACATAAGATCACCTCAAGACAAGTTGTTATACAGTGCAACAGCACAAGGGGCCTCCATAATTTAAATGCGGAAGGCTACTTACTCTACAATTGCAGAAGGCTCGTTCCCTTACTAAGCTCCCCTCCCTCTAATCTCTATAAAAATTCTTGCAACACTAGATGCAAATGGTAATCAATACAATTATAAAAAATGAAACAGTGGATTTATCTCTCAGCTACTGTAAATTTAAGCATCAGAGTACCAGTGTCTACCTCCCGCAGCTGTGCAGAATTAAAATTTCTATGTGCACTAATATATATCAAAAAAATAATATCGTCTATTCAAGCGAAACCATCCGTTACAACAATTAAATTATACAGTTAATTCTATAATCTAACATTGAAAAATAACATAATGGCATAATTTGAGTACCTTGTTGAAGCACTGATCATTTCCTTTTGCCCTTTTTTCCACCATCCATTCTATCACCATTATCACATTCTTCTTCTTCACTGCTTTCATCATCAGAGAGAGGAGAAGGGTCCAGCCTAGCAGCATCAATTGCCCACTTTATTACCTTTTCTACTTCATCCTCCTCATCATCATTCTCTTCTTCTTGCTGACTACTAACAACTTCAGAAGAATCAATATCATTTTTACGATTATGAGACGGAATAGAATTCTTGAGCGCCGTAAATCTAGCAAACAGATCATCCTCCTCAAACCCACCAATATTATTAGTAATATTGACTTTCACTTGGTCCTTATCATCATCAATTGCTGTTATAGTTGAAACAGCAGCAGTTGATGTGTTTTTGGGTTTGGATTTGAGGGATTCGAAGCGGCGTTCGAGATCTGGATCCATGGAGGTCCGAGAGGAGGAGGAGGCGCGCGCCATGTGGGAATCGACGCTGAGTTTGAGAAGAAGATCGTCCTGCGCTGCTCGCAGCAACTGTTGAACCTCATCGTCTTCGTGTGTACTGTTCTTCCTTGCGTTGCTCATTTGGTGCCTCCAAAAGATGTCAATTTGATCTGAATATCGAAATTTGTCAAAACTACCATAGGAACTTTTTTATTTAATTCTACTTTTGACAAAAATGTGACGGAAAATTACCATAGGAACTTTTTTCTCAATTATACATTCTCAGAAAAAATCATTTTACACATTTTTCTTATAAGTTTTTCCAATATTTTAAATACACATTCACCGACACTTTTCAAAAATTTTAACCCTTGTTTGGTACCAATTATTTTTAAAATATATTTTTTTCTCTCTTATTTTCAATCACACATTTAATATTATACGTAAATCCAAAAAAATTTCTTATTTTTTAACCACACATTTTTCATTTCAAAATGCATTTTCATAAAAAAAAAAAATGGGGCTCAAACGGGCTCTTAATCAAACGAGCATGTAATGTTGTTTTGAATGTAAACTGGGATTTGAATCTAGGAATTCAGATTCTCGCGGGACAAAAATTGTGAATATTTCGTTAAAATCACATGCTAATTTTACGTGATTTAAAGTTTGAGGACAAAACCGTTAAACAATTTAAAGTTGAACTTTCAATCGCGTGAAAGACCTATGCATATTTAACATCAACATTGACAATTTTGATCACATAGAATCCAAGATTTAAATATATGGGACTTGAAACCTCAAGGTTGAAAGATATGGCAAGACATCAAGTTCAATTCTCAAGTCCTATATCCTGTGAACCCTGGATCTGATTATTATATTATTTTAATAAGATTTTTTGTTTAATTATTTTTAACAAGATTATTAAAATTTTTGTTGAATTTGTGATCACTGTATTTCTGAAACTTATCTTTTACAATTGAAGAATGATCGAATAAATAGATACAATGTTTAGCCTATCTATAGTAAGTTACATATGTCATTCCTAAAATCAAGATTATGCTAATTTGGTGAGGATTGCCCTGATTTGGTGTAACGGAAATTCTAGTGGTGGCAATCGAGTTGAGCCGGCTCGTTGAGACCGAGCCACGAGCACAAGCAGAGCAGCGGGCTCGCTCGGTAAGCCAAGCCCGGCTCGGCTCGTTTTTTCTCGAGCAGCTCGTGGGCATGAGCCCACGAGCCGGCTAGTGAGCTCGTGAAAAAAAACACTAAAAAAAAAACTAAGAAAAGCTAAAAAAAATTGACGAGCCACGAACCAATCGTGGGCCTAGCCAAGCCGAGCCCACCCACGAGCAAACGAGCCACGAGCCGAGCTCGTGGGTTTAAGGGCCGAGCCGCTTCGGCCCATTGACATCTCTAGGAAATTATGTCAATATATTGCCCTGAATTGGCGTTATGGAAATTCTGTCAATACTCCCCCTCAATTTGGTGTATGGAGATCCGTAATGCCCAACTTGCGTAGAAAATGGTGGAAGAGCTCATGTCCTAATGCTTTGGTGAAAATGTTAGCAATTTGCTCATGAGAGGAGGTATGATAGGCGGTTAGAAGTCCTGACTTTATTTTATCACGAACAATGTGGCAGTCAATCTCAATGTGCTTGGTACGTTCATGAAAGACATGATTGTGAGCAATGTGAAGAGCCGATTGATTGTCACAATATAGGCGGAAAGGCTCAGAATGAGGAACACCAAGATCAGTGAGGAGCTGTTTTAACCATGTGAGTTTGCAGGCAGTGACAGCCATGGTGCGATATTCAGCTTCGGCAGATGAACGGGCCACAGTTGTTTTTTTTTTTTTTTGTGAGCCAAGAAATAGGATTGGTGCCAAGTTGAATGAAATAACCTGTTGTGGAGCGACGAGTGGTGGGACAACTTGTCCAATCTGAATCAGTGTAAACAGTAACATGCAAGTTGCTAGAGGAAGAGAAAAGAATACCTTGTCTTGGACTACCATTGATGTAGCGAAGAACCCGCGTGGCATCTTGCATGTGAGGAACACGGGGAGCATGCATGAACTGACTAAGAATATTCACTGCAAAAACGATATCTGGACGAGTGATGGTCAGGTATATGAGGCGTCCAACAAGTCGACGATAAGCACAGGGATCGGTGAGAAGAATGTCATCACGATCAGTGAGCTTCAGATTTTGATCCATAGGAAAAGAAGCAGTCTGAGCACCAAGTTGTCCACTATCAGAAAGAATGTCAAGTGCATATTTCCGTTGGTTGAGGAAAATGCCCTTTTGAGAACGGGCCACTTCGAGACCAAGAAAATATTTGGGCGGGCCGAGATCTTTTGTCTTGAAGTGGGTAGAGAGAATGCTCTTAAATACCTTGATTTGAGAGATGTCGTTGCCAGCGACCAAGATATCATCAACATAAACCAAAACAATAGTAATGTTGGTGTGAGTGACAAGAGTAAATAAAGAGTGATCTACCTGAGACTGATGAAAACCTACATCAAGAAGCACACTTATTAGTTTAAAAAACCAGTTGCGGGAGGCTTGCTTGAGGCCATAGAGATATTTTCTGAGTCGACAAACATGAGTCTCCCTTTTAGGACAATATCCAGGTGATGGTGTCATGTAGACTTCTTCATCAAGATCGCCGTGCAAAAAAGCCTTGTTGACGTCGAGTTGGTGAATAATCCAATTTTTATTAGCAGCGACTGCCAATAAGCAGGGGACAATGGTCATTTTGGCAACTGGAGCAAAGGTCTCGTGATAGTCAAGTTCTTCGGTCTGAGTGTAGCCTTGGCAACAAGTTGAGCTTTGTACCTCTCGATGGAACCGTCAGCCTTAAGTTTAGCCCTTGAGTTTAGTTTTGAAGACCCATTTACAGCCAATTGGTGTTTTACCATGAGGAAGTGGCTCAAGCGTCCAAGTAGAATTTTCTTCAAGGGCGCGTATTTCAGCAGACATAGCATCACGCCAATGAGAGTGTCGAACAGCAGTAGAATAAAAAGAAGGTTCAATAGAAACGGTGAGAACAGTTAAAAAGGTAAGATGAGAAGGTGAGAAACGAGAATAAGAAAGAAAGGCAGATAAGGGGTGAGTAGTACCCGAGGTCGAAGTAGCAGATGAGGATGCAATAGACTCCATGTGTATGGTCGGGCAAATATAATCTTTAAGATATGTAGGTCGAGTAGTAGTGCGACGAGGACGAAGAGAGAGAGGGAGGCTGGTGGTGAGGGAGGTGGGTCGGGAATACTAGGATTGATAGGAGGGGAAGGGGATGGTGCTATGGTTTCAGGAATGGGAAGCGGAATAATAGGTAGAGATGTATTTGTAAGGTCAGGGGTATCTTGAAATGGAAAATTTTGTTCATGGAAGGTGATGTCACGAGAATAGAAGATGGCTTGAGTTTCGAGGTTATAAAGTTTGTATACTTTATGGGTACCGGAATAACCAATGAAAATACATTTAGAGGCACGTGGAGAAAATTGAGCATAGCAAAGGCACTCGAAAACAAGCGTAAGTGAGCATAGTTTGGCTGGATGGCAAAGATAAGTTCAAAAGGGGATTTATTTTGGAGGATGCGACTGGGGGTGCGATTAATAAGATAAGCAGCAGTGAGCATACAATTACCCCAAAATTTTAGAGGTAAGTGTGCTTGAAAACGGAGACTACGTGCCACATTCAAGAGGTGCTGGTGTTTGCGCTCCGCAACGTCATTTTGTTGTGGAGTTTCGACATAAGTACGTTCATGAATGATGTCGTGATCATGGAGGTAATTTTGAAATTTGTGGGAAAGAAATTCTTGTTCATTATCAGTTCTTATTATCTTGATTGTGGAGTTGAATTGATTTTGGATAAGTGCAAAAAATGCATGAGATGGGTATAGGCTTCAGATTTATATCGCATAAGATATATCCATGTAGTGCGAGAAAAATCATCAACTATAGTAAGAAAATAATGAGCACCACAAATTGAATAAGTATGATAACCACCCCATATATCACAAAAAATGCGATTAAACGCAAATGTACTTTCATTAGCATGTGAAGGAAAAGGAAGTCTAGTGTGCTTCAAACGAGCACAAATATCACAATCATGAACAACACAAGGATTATTATTAAAAAGACTAAGAATATTTAAACTGGAAGGATGAACTAGGCGTTGGTGCCATAGGATTTTATTAGTGGTGATCTGAGTCGAGAAGACAGTAATGGGTTGGGGTCGATACACATAAAGTCCATTGCAAAGCTCACCCGCTCCAATCAGCCTCGTCGACTGTAGGTCCTGAAAAAAACAATTGGTAGAAGAAAATGAAACAATACAAGAATTATTAGTGGTAAGGTGAGGGACAGAAAGAAGATTAAAATTGAATTGAGGGACAAAATAGACATTGTATAAAATTAGAGACTTGGTCAAGGTTCCAATGCCTTCAATTGGAAGGGTTTGACCTGTAGGTAAAGTAACGTGTTGCACGTTTTTGGGTATGGTGAGTTGCGTGAATGAGTTTCTATTAAAACACATGTGATGGCTTGCTCCACTATCAACAACCTATAATTGGCAATCACCAGAAGAGAAAGGGTGAGAAACGTTACCCACAAAGTTGACCGACGGAGGTTTCGGACTGAGAAAATCTAGGAGTTTTTGATAGATATTAGGTGGAAGACCAGGTACCGGCGACTGGAGGTTAGAGGAGATGGCTTGATTGACCATCGGTGGCAACCCAGTCGGTGGTTTGCCGAGAAGAGAAGGCTTGCCCTTGGTCCGTGGTTCGTGAACCAGTGGATACCCAACGATCCGTTAGCAACGATCTCGGGTATGGCCATTTCGTCTGCATTCGGTACACTTGAACGGCGATTTCTGAGGACCACCGGAGTGAGCGACGAAGATAGGTGCTTCCGTCGAAGTTGATTGGACTTGAAGGAGCATCTGTTGTTCCTCCTGAAAAAGAATTGAAAAAAATTTTGTGATTGGGGGAAGGGGCTCCATGGCCAAGATTTGGGTTTTGAGTTGGGAGAAGGAGTCGTTGAGGCCAATGAGAAACTGGTAAACCCGCTCGTCCTCTACTTGTTGCTGTAATTCTTTAATATCATTGGCTTGTTGTAGATGACTGAATTCATCCCAGGATTG